ATAGTCTTTTAGTCCTGAATCATGATTAAATTAAATGGGCTCTTAACTCAGGTTTCTTACAATTAAAACTATATTTTGTTGTTTTGACGACAACATTAATGACAGACACGTATGACTGCTGTCACTTTTAGAGCTAGTGCACGGATCCTGTTTTCATTATACTGTCCGTTACACTGTCACATGCGTTTTATGCTTATCTAAGACATAACCGAATGGGTTTATGAGTATAACCAAGCCAACTTTGCATGTTTTTTTCCCCGTTAAACTATATAATCCGCGAAAAAAAGAACTTTTGTTACTCGTAAGCTGTTTTGTGAGGAGACTTTACTGTATGCACACAGAGAAAAACATCTCTGAGACAAAGTTTTCAAATTGACTAAAATGATTGATTTGATTTTATGATCTGTGTGGATTCATTTAGGCTACTCATACAATCTGCATGCTAAAGTAAATCAATGTTTGTGGGGGAATTTCATTATAAGTGCATTATAACTTTTAGGTATTAAATCGTCACCCGAGGTTGACATGCTGCTTTTACTCAACAGTGTTGTTGTTGTTGTTGTGCGCGCTAGGGAGCGTAAAAGCGAAATGTAAAAATTTAGACCAGCGTTATCGTGGACAGTATTATATGGCACACCCCTAGTTTCCAGCTCTTAATATTACTTAATGAGCACTAATCAACACCTAATGACAATGCATCAATTCCAAGAGAGCAAAAGCTTTGAGTATGAACATTCATCTAAGGTACAGCGAATGGTAATTATACCTACACTCTATGCTGGTAATGGCAAGGTGAATGTTTTAAAAGGTGAATGTTGTTAACAGAAAAGGAGAGGAGCCTATGCCAGAATCTATAGTTTCAATTACCAAGCGAGACGAAGGAGCAGAGCCAACAGGAAAGGCTTCACTGAAAGGCAATTATTCGTCAAGAACACAGACAGGGGGGGGGTAAACAACCAGGCCTGAATGTCAAAAGACAAGAGTTGGAGAGAGTGAGAGATGAAGGAGGGCAAGAGCATGCGGGTGCATGATAGAGAGAGAAAGAAACTCCAGGACATTTTCCACATTTAAGTAATGTCCATCCATCAAACTAGTCAAGGTAGTGTGAGAAGAAGCTTATTTGAGTATGAAAAGGGAAATTTAAAAAACACCAATACATCACTGTCTGTTCTGGCCAACAGATTCAAATTTTATAAAAGATTTTCAATACAATTTTTATGTATAACCCAAGAAGAAAGTATGTTCAAAACATACTATACATTTTCAAAATCAAGTAGTTGGTGGGTTCCTTGAGCGAACAGGCAGTCTAACCTGAAACCCAGGATTATAGAGGCAGCTTTTCAGGTCCACCTGACACCAAGGTGTTTCTAAAAACAATTACTTGATTAAATGGTTTAAATTTGCTAGTGTTTTTTCAACCTTCATTTTTAACCTCGTAGATAAGGTTGTAGATTTTTTTTAGGTCTACTTTTTTTTTAAGTCTGGGAATGCAGGGTAAGAAGTATTCCTATAAATATTTAATACTATTCCTTTTCAAAAGCCTAGATTTCAATCAAACACCTTTGTTGTCTTCAAAAGGTTTGTCCACCAACGTACACTCAAAATACAGATAAAGGTAAAAAATAAAGATAAAGGTTCCAAATGGGCTTTTCACAGCAATGCCATAGAAGAACCACTTTTGATTCCTGCTGGATTAAAGGAAAATTAAATGTCTTAAACCTTGTATTTATAAGTATAAACTTGTTTATTAATAAAGTAAAGGCATCAAACCAGTTTAGTGTATTGAAAATATTTTTATATAATTAGTTTATTAATTAAATTAATAAAAAGACAATAATATAAATAACATAAAATAATTATAATACAAATACATTGCGATATGTTTGGTAATTGTACCTGAATGAATTTAAAATTAACTTACTATATTTCAAATCAATATATTTCTTTTCCTTAATTTTAATGAACACTGACTTTATTCTCATTTGAATTTTCAATAATTTATTTCTGCATACAATAATACTACCATATAAATGAAAAACGATGCAATATGATGAATGTCCAAAAGAAGGCACCAACAGACTGTTTTTAATGGGTTGGATAAATAGATAAGATAACAGCTGTCATCATGACGCATGAATATATATATATATATATATATATATATATATAAATAGTAATATTTTTTCCCTCCCATTTATCTACAGCTCAGAATTCTGAAATGAAATTAAGTAGCGCTGTAATATTTTTTTTATGAATTAACCAGAAAAAGGGTGTGTAACTGACTAGGAAACCGAAGTTTATGATTATGAAATGGATTATGAGTCGCTTTAACCTGTGTACCTAACAGTAGTTCCTTCTATATTACAGTAATTAATTTGCACACAAATTTTATTTATTTTTATACCGTGTATTCTCTGTATAAATTCATGCACCAAACCGTGACACCTATACCGTTTTGGTTTAATACGAAAACACATACCGTTTCACCCCTAGTATGGTGTAAATCAAGATGGATGAGTGTCATATTATTTATTTGGTAGAATTAAAATGTTGGGTAACTTGGGTTGTTTATTTAAGTAATTTTATCTGAGATAATTCAAGTTTCCAATACATTGGGAGTTTTATCATGATTGTCCAAGGTCAATGAGTTTCAGCCCTCAAAAATGTAGAAAAGAAAGCTGATTGAAGAAAACCACAAGTTCTGACCAGCCTCTCCAGATAGCAAATACAATTCAAATTGAATCATCCTGAAATCTCAAAGCACTCCAAAATAATTAAATTCTCAGCGGAAAGAGGGGAGCAGCATTATAATTAAACTCCCTTGTTCTTGTCTCTTTTCCACCATTCGTAGGCCCTGTAAACGAACACAAAGCTAACCGACAGGAGGATTGGATTGGGGAATTAATTTCTGCAGAAAAACATGCATTTTTTATCCATCTAGCCTGAATCCTGCATATAGTGTTCCCACTTGTGTGTACCTATATCGTGCAGTGGAAGAACTAGAGGATTTGTTGAACGCTCAATTCTAAGACGTGTACACTTGTCAGTCTATCTAACCAACACACTGGGACTTAAAAACAGACAAACAATCCTCTAAGGAGCATGGCTTAAAACTCAGAAATGAATCTAATACAGAGAGCTCCAATCAGCATGTATAAGGAAGAAGGCTTGGGGCAAATAACTCCCACATGTAGTTTTTGATGAGCACCTGATGCTTTTTTGTTTTCAAAGCTAATCTAGCAAACTCGAGTGAATTAATCAATTAGTTGATTAACATACAAGCAGAATTGGGTATACAATGTTAAAAGGGACATATCATGAAAATATGATATTTTCCATGTTTAAGTGCTATAATCAGTTCCCTGGTGTATCTACCAACACAGAAAACATGAAAAGTGACAACCCAGTAACTTTGTTTTGGTAAGCCTTTATCTGCAAGCATGTAAAAAAAAAAAAATAATAATAAAATGATTTCGCTCCTTCTCTGATGTAGGAAGGGAATCTTATATATTTCCACCCCTAAAAGGAGTAGTTCACTTTTGAAAAAAACATTTGCTGATAATTGACTCACCCCCATGTCATCTAAGATGTCCATGTCATTCTTTCCTCAGTCGAAAAAGAAATTAAGGTTTTTGATGAAAACATTCCAGCATTTTTCTCCATATAATGCACTTCAGTGGGAACCAAACGGTTCAAGGTCCAAAAGACACTTTCAGTACAAACTGCAAACTGTTCAAAGGGCTTTAAACGATTGATGTTTTACGATATGATGTTTTAATAAAAATATACTTAAAAAATTAAAATCAAGGAAATTTCTCTTGCATTTCTTTCTTTTTGCTGTATCGGAAACGTACCGAACCGAACCGTGACACAAGTGTATCGTATCGAACCAAAAACCCCTAATATCGATATATTTTTAAATGCGATGTGATTATGGAATTAGACAATAATGGAATTAGACCAGCTCGCATATATCAATATAGTTCAAATATGCGCTGTGATCCTTGCTCAAATTTATTCATTTGATTTTGCACCTGTTCACTGAAATAGCCGGTTTCAATAAAACTAGGCTACTTGTGACGTCAAATTTGGCTTTGACTGAATATTTTGCTCTCAGTTTGCGGGAAAAAAATATCGGGATCTTGTATATTGATATTCTGCCTAAATATATCGGGATATGACTTTTGGTCCATATCGCCCAGCCCTAGTACAGGTACATGCAAGTCGATTAGATGAATCAATGTAACTTCTTGTGAAAAGGGGCATCTCATCACCTTTAAAGAAGGACTATTAAAAAAAACATCTCCCTCCTTTTAAAACCATTATAGAGATTAATTGTTTTGGCATCAATGAGAAGTCAAACTTTCATATTAAAACAAAGGAGGAGGATTTATATTAATGTCTGGTTTTATTTCTCAACAGCATTTCTTCTTCCTCCAGTATTCTAGCATAAAAACTCCAGGCTATTTGTAGAAAAGTGAAATGGTGAATTACACATTGGGAGATGATGTAAAATCACATCTTGCCATCCTTTACCACAGAAAAATGAGTTCATAAGTATACATGAGGAGACTCAAAACCTCCCTCTCACCTCAGGACAAGAGAACAAAAGAGACAAACTAAAATGAGGGCAATCATCTCCGATAAATACAGTCTTTAGCCTGTCAATGCCATCATAAGAGGCCTGCAGTTACAGATATTTTCATCAGGGCAAACCCACAAATACAATAAACTCACACACAGCCAGCACAGACACACAACAACAAATTAACGCAGACATGCATGCAGATGGTGTCTCTGTGGTGGTTCTGTACCTTAGCTTATTATTTTGTTGTTTTACAAAGACAGACACATCTGAAATGGGATCGAGTAACTGATTGGAGCAGTCTGCGACGTGACCTCTTACGGCCCTTAGGATCTTTTCCACTGCAGTGTATTTACTGCTAATGCTTTCAGGTTTATATGTTAGTCTGTGTGGCTACAATTATTCTTTGACTTACATTTTTTGCAGCTGTGATGACGTACTGAAGGACCATCTCCCTTTTTGTGCTCAAGTCCTTCTCTCTGAGTGGTGCCTTCTTCTCTTCATTAAGATTCATATCCTCCTGAAAATACAAACCACATACAAGAGAAAGAAAATATCATGTTACAAGAAAAAACATCAAGTCTTTCAGTATTGTGACCTGCTTTATGAGAATCTCCATCATTACAAGCGACGAAACATTTGATCCAAACAAAAGAGACTAAAGAATCATATACTGATATCTACATATTTCTGCTCAAAAGAAAAATAGTACTGGAGATGCTGGTTGTTAACTTAATAAAGAAGAGCAAAGAGCCCTCGCATCTTTCAATGCTCACATGAATCAAACCATGCCTAACACCTGTTCTTTTTGAAACTGTAAATAAATGAAACCGCAGGATATCAACCTCTACTCGTGAATCCATCAGGCAGATACAACATTAACCCTCTGGGGTTGGCTATCGTGCCGGTGTTCTGTCGATTTTTGCTGCCTTGTCGAAAAATGCTACCGTAGCGCGAATTGATCACAGAATGCCGATTAAAGTCGTATGAAATACAATTCTAATACAATTCTAAGTTATGAGTAGCTACTGTATACTGTAGACTACTGTTTTTATTTTTAAAACGGTGTGAAAAGTAAAAATTATCATAAAATATTCATCTTTGACTTGTCAAAGTACACCTTTTCTTATAGTACTGTAACTGAAACTTTCAGTTATTCCTTTTCAGCTGGCTGACCGTACAAATATTCATATGGTAGTAAGCATTTTTTAAAGGGAAATTATACATTATAACAGGAAAATGTACCTTTTGTAAAAAAAAAAAAAAAAAACTGTGAGTCTGCACATGCGCATAACCGGTAAGTAGGAAATCTCGATGGGTAGCATGATTTGTCAGAACACCGGCGTGACAAGCTCACCTTTTTTTCTTATAAGTGCAAAAGAGACTCAAATTACTCTGCTGATTTTGATCTTACATATACAGTAAGTGTTATACATCATTCAATCATTCGAAAGTGTCTTTTTTGTGTATACTCACAATAAAACAGTGTTGTGCTTTTAATTAAAGAAAAATAAACATGATGTGAATTTTGCCTTGTCTCTCTCTCAATGAAATTCATTCTGAAACACGTCCTAAAACTGAACTGTAACTCAGTAAATACTTGTCACAGAAACAGGACTTCTTTATGAAGCTAAAATTCTCTTCTTTTAAATGAATTTATATAAAAAACAACTATTGTCAGTTGATGCAATCTGTATGAAAAGAGAGAGGTCAGTCTTTTTCCTTTTGCCCAATTATAGTGTATGATGTGCTAATGTGACCACGCCCACAGAGAGCGCGTGCTATTCAAAACACCAATGTTGAAGCGAGCCATGAAAACGCCCACATCAGCTGGATAAAACATCCAGTTTAATAAAAATCGTGTACTTCACCTCGTCTTGCTGCGCTGTAAAAAAAAATAATACTACCATAATAATCCAGGAAAAGTTGCCTGAGGAGTGCTGGTATTTCATTTCGACGAGCACGGGTTCAGCCGATGTAGCAAGTAATTTATTATTAAGTGCTTTGTTCTAATCACGTTACTGAATAGTGTCTGTAAACTGCACAAAGACTGTTTAAATATGAAATTTGCACCACAAAACAATAGAGTCAATAGATTGAATAGATGCTAGACGATGACAAAAAACACCAGTTTGCATTTTACAATATAATCAAAATAACAACATATGACACACGTTCTTGAAAAAAAAAAAATTAAATGCAGAGTTTTAGACTTATCTTCAAATTTTAAATATAACATGGTTTATCAATATAACACCATTTATATATATATATATATATATATATATATATATATGTATATAATAATTTAATTGGTTTTATATATGTATATATGTATGTACGTGCATGTATATATATATATATATATATATATATATAATTTAATTGGTTTAAACGAACAAGCAATTTTTCTGTTTTTTTTACATATGGCAGCCTTTTATATCACATTTCGCAGACTTGCAGGTCTTACCAGACTAAGTTCTGTTATATTTTATATTTGTATATGATGTTAAGTAAGCCAGGGTGGGGTGGGGTGGGGTGGGTTTAGTTTGGTTATGTCATGTCATGTCTTTTTCCTTTCTTGTTTTCTTTTTTCTGTTTAAAATCTGAATTGTAAAAGTTGTCTATTTTATGTAATTCGATTCAGTCTTCAATAAAAATATGTTGCAAAAAATAAAAAAAAATAAAAATCTGACCTGGTTTTTAAAGGAATTAATCTTTTGGAATTATTTTTTGATTAAACACTTTAAAATTGAAATAGCAATTTATTTATTTTTTATTTATTTTTTGCTAAACTGGTATTATAAACATCTGTTGTCAACGTGGACACATTTCTGTGTGCAACTTTGTGAGACCTTTTAAAGATTAGTGCCTAGCACTGATTGATGAAGTCATGAATTATGTATTAGAAAAATGTAATGGGCCAATTTCTGAAAAGATTAAGAAATTAACAGTGAAACAAAAATGAGCATGTTCATAAATCTGAACCTGTTGTACTGCTAAGACAGACATTGGCAGATATACTTGGCAATTTTACTTCCAAGATTACTGAAGCAACACGTCCTGTGCCAAAAGAAAACTAGTGCACTGCACTTCTCAAACTCACCATGTCTGACAGAGAAGGAGAAAGAGAAAAGAACTAGCATGTATCTGTGGACAGTTTACAACTACCATCAAAAGATAAAAAGGGCGTGGAAATCTCAAGGCAAAAGACAGAACAATAAAATCGATAAGGGACAGAAGGGAAGAAAGAGACGGCGGTAGATGAGACAGAAAAACAATAACAGCTGCATTCGATGTTGAGTGCATTTCCCTTTCCCCACAGCGTCTCTCTCTTTCCGGAGAGGATACATCAGCAGAGCCGTTTAAGATTTCAGTCATGGGATCGCAGGCTTGATGCAGTCCTCGTGTGTCAGAGTGAGAGAAAGAGAGGAGGATGCTGGGATAGGTGCGGATAGGGCGCAGAGCGGAAAGGCATCTATTACCACTGTTGGCCCTGTCACCTCTGCTGGCATGCTCATGTATCCAAACCCGTACTTGCCATGACTAATGACTGCGTCTCTGCCTGCGTTATCCACACTCTTCCTTCTCTACCCAGCAGTGGCTGCTCCTGTCACTCAATCCTGCACTTGGAGATGCTGCTCAACCGCTAACACTGTCTCTGCCATTTCTAAGAGTGGAGGTGTGGACCTCCGTACGATAGCATTCATGCAATGGAGAACTGTGCGTTGTTTTAAAATGACACTTGAAAATGGATGAAATAGATAGATGTGAGTTAAATGTATGACAAAAGTACAGTAAGTTAACTTTCAAAAGCTGCATAATTGTGTATATACTGTATATATATAAAAGTCTAAACAAAAGATTTTAAAGTGAAGATTTTTTACTTCATATAAGAAACCTAAAAGAAGAAAAGTCAAAAAGTTTAAAAAGTGAAAGAAATCTTGCACAGGCCTAAACCTTTTACATTTAAATTGACAAAAATATTAGTACAATAAATAATTTAATTAGTACAAAAAAATATTTTTTATTTTATTTTAAGTGCTTATTAAATCTGACCATGTGCAATTTTGAAATTACTAAGTTTTGATTTGGAATTGGGAATTACTATATTATAGGTTAGGCATCAGTTTAAAAAAAATTGATTCAAAACATCTATTCTTTATATAATTTTGTGTATTTTCTTTTATTTACCACAATAAACGAAGGTGCTTGCAAATATTTGTCTGTGACTGTTTGATGCAAGCGAGTATATGCATTTATAGAGATGGGAGCCTTGTCCTTTTCTGAATACAAGCTGATTGAGGTCAGTGACCCATAACAATCCATTTCATTATGAAAAGGTTTCATTTCTTAAAACATAATTGCAAATGAACCTCTACTGATTATTGTGTTTGAAAGGTTGTTAAAAGGTCATTGTGTAGGAGTGATAATTAACTGGTTTTATAAATGTCCACAGTAAGCAGACGTGTACAATAGCATGAATGCATATCAACAAAACTGTCAGAAATTGGGTATCACTTACTGATTGTGCGTACTTACTTTGTTTTAAATTTTATTCTAAATTTACAAAATAATTAAGGAATAACAAACAAGTATGCAGAAATCCCATACTCTGAGTGGTCCTATAAACTTAAAGATGAAACATGCCGCAGCTTTGGCTATTTGCCTATACCAATATCAATCCGATATTTTATTCTTGAAGTAATACTAATAAAATGCATTTCAGAATTGCATAATACATTTGTCTATATCTAAATACATCTTACCATCATTTTCTCAAAGAGGGCAAGGATTTCCTTCTCCGATGTGATTTTTGAAGAAAGCTCCTCAAATTCAGAGGAAGTGGACCAGTCACCAGAAGAATGCTTGGACATGTGGGAGAGGTGTGGCCGTTCCTTTTTGCTTCCAGGGATCCGGATACTGGAAAATCTATCCAACTAAGAGAAAAATAAGACATTTGAGGGAGTATGAGTGAGACATGTTTATATGATGATCAATTATCATATGGTTATTTTCCCCCCATTTAGTTGAAAGAGCAAAATATACAACTTTGGGGTCAGTATCACAAACAATTTTTCTATTGAACTTTCTATACAAAGAATCCTGAAAAAAATATTAAGCTGTGCAACTGTTCTTAACAATGAAATAAAAAGCAATGTTATTTGAACACTAAAATATACCACAATGATTTCTAAAGGATCATGTGACACTGAAGATTGGCTGAAATTCTAAATCTTAAAATATATTAAAACAGAAAAAGTTAGATTTAATTGTAATGATTTCACAATATTACTGTTTTGTATTTTCTTTCTTATTTTGTTTTGTAAAAAAAATATATTTTAAAGTATGACCAAATGTGTGTGACCAAAAATTTATGACAGTATTTTTCAAAATTATACCGTTTCATGATATATGACGATATTATTTTTTTCAAGCAGAAATGGGTGTTAGCCACATTTTCTACTGATTCAGAGAGGAAAAACCAAAGTAGATTGACTTAGAATGCACAATTTTACTGTAATGAGTGAATATTGTAGAAAAGTTACACACTAGTTCTCACACAGGTTTACAAGGTCACACAAAATCATGCTCTTCACAAAGAGGTCCCAGCAGGAGGCACTTAAGGAGCGACATACACTATTGTGGTATATTAAAAATTCATATCACATAACATAAATAAACACCAGTATTCGGTATGAACCAGTATACCACCCAGCACTACATAAAACCAATTCATCCAACATCTCCTCCAATCTCATTTGCTTGTGCAGTCAAGTGATGAATCTGTTTTTTTGCGAATTACAGCCCAACAGATGTCTGTTTTAAAAAAAAAATTAGTTTAAAATTAAAAAATTAAAAGTAATTTTTCACTACTTTATTTGTCTATTAAAAGTCTACTTTAAAATAGTTTATAGTGCATTTTCAATCCATTTATTAAGATAAGTTTAGCACGCCAAAACTGACTCGGCTCTTTACAACATCGGCCCACAAGGGGGCCTCAACGAGCTCTGTGGGGAGGGGGTCATATTTTGAAAAGTTGGAAAAGGGGTCATGTCATATTTTGAAAAGTTGAGCAATGAGCATTAAATAAAAGTCCTTACTTTTTTTCTGTTTTTTACAAAATTCATATAATGAACACGTTCATCATGAATCTATTTTTCAGTCCTTGTTTTAGCTTATCCTGAAACACGATGTTACACCTACAATAAGTGTTTACATCGGGACTATTTTACACTGGTTCGGATCGCTGTCGCTGCGGAGTAGCCCAGTACCTGCGTAACTCGTCATAGAGGAACACAGAGAGAAGTAGTTCCGGCTACAATGTTCTTCCGAAAGACGCATTGTTCTGTTAATAAACGCAAGTTTATTATCGCTCGCTATAGCGCCAAAAGCATAAGTCTCACATTGATAAAGCCTCACAAATAACTTACAAGTATTGAGGCCCCAGACAGCAGTCATTTAGTAATGGCCTATATTCTTTCTTTTTTTTTACCAACACACCACTTAGAAATTTTTTGTTTTTGCATTTCAAAAAGGTCCAATAGGCTTCTCCTAGGCTTACGAAGGGCCTACTGATGTTTTTGTTATTGTATTTTCAATATTACAGGCTATTATTAGTGTATAACCATATCTGTAAACATAGTTATAGTAAACATACAGTTTGTTTGAAAACTAAATATTTTGTCATTCTTGCTGCAAGATCATTAAACGTGGGCTCTAAAATATTTTCTTGGGAAAAAGGGGGTCTCAGACAAAAAAAAAAAAGGTTGGGAACCAATGTATTCCCAATGGAAACCATTGGAAACCAATGTATTTGGTTGCCATGACAACTTCACATGCATGCTGCTTTCTGTGGTCATAGTAAAATAACTTCATTATTATTTAGAGTTACTTGGAATGTGAATATTTTCTACAGTAAAAAAAGTTTACAGTATAGAAAAGCTAAAATGCGATTAAAATGGTGACTAGCAAAAGTGAGTGCTTGGTCATACTCACTTTAACCCTGTGTACACTGTTTATGATCAGTTAGAACTTCCTTACTGTAAGCAGACAGACGTTCATTAGAAGTCAGTCAGCTCCTAACGAACAGAGCGTCCGCAGAGACACTGTAACTTGCCGTCAATTTATATCGAGGTGGTGGGCCCCCGCATCACACAGATAATGATTTCCTAATTGGATTAGATTTGTCAGAGAGCTGTTTTCTCTCCCTGGGCCTGTAGGCGCAACAGGGAGATGATGGGAGATTGAGATGTCAGCGTTGGCTGAAAAGGTAGGTGGGTTTATTTTTTTTTAGAGGCCTTGCCCCCTTTCTTTCAAGTGGTGGGTGAATTAGCAGCAGTTATCTTCGAGAATTTTTTTTGCCACCCATTGCGCATTATCTTGGCGAGAAGGAGCGCAACACGCTGAGATAATCAGCAATGACACTGATGTAAAATTAATTAAACACAAGCAGTAGATCAGAGTATAGCTAGCGTCTACAGTGCACAGAGCCGATGCAGGGAGCAAATGTGTGGAGTCTGATACCAAACGACACCATCATCTGTCTAATTTTGTTTGCCACTGCCCTAAAGCGCCTCTTCGCTACATTGAGTGATGGCACTGATCAGTTTAATCACAGAGATTCATCCCCAGCGGAGGGAAGAAGTGCTTTGCTATTCCACACTCGTTACCGGTGAATAGATAAATAAATATGTGCAGCCGCTACCTCGATAACAACAACAGGCATCATACCTCAGCCGATGCGAACTGATCTAGATGATGAAGTGCTTTTCAGGGCTGTTTAGGTGTTTATGAGTGAGTCTGCGGCTTACTTTCACACAATCTCTCTCCCTTTTTCGCCGACATACACTTTGATGTTACTAATGGCTCCATCCCCTTCTGATCACTCCACCAGACCCCTCTTTGGTAATTCAGCCTCTCAGCAGCACCAAAACACATTTCTACCATGACCAAACATCAGCCCTCACAAAAGCCCTCCATTATCTAAGGACATGATTCACTCATCGAAAACATGTCCTACACTTATCACCCTCCAAATTCTGCAAATTTTCTCCAAAGAATTATTGTAAAACAGATATTCATTTTTCTTTTTTGAATAATACCAATACCTTGGAGAGCAGGGTGGCCGATATACATCACACTATACTACATAATTTAAAGATGGTAAAAACAAAATGCATAAAAACAACTGAGGAAATGGATATTTATCTATAAGAAATAATTAGTAATCATTTGAAAAATTAAAAACGAAAACAATTATTGTTAAACTTGATAAATCTTTAAAAACAGATTTATACTTTAGAAAGTAACAAACATAATTATGTTATCCTATTATATCATTTTTCACAAACATCCTGAACAGTGCACTCAGCAATCTGTGTGCAATGGGAATTTCTTTTTTTTCCCTTCTTTTTTAACATAAAGACAAGGCTATACAGTATATGACTGGATGCAGTGTAGCATAGTTTGAAAATCAAGAAGAACTTAAATTGTCAATCGGGAATGTCCCATGACAATTCTCTTCCCGTCTGTATCCAGTTCACAAAGACTGATCGTTATGCAGAGTACGTACCGCTATACTATTACTAATAATTAGCAACATATCAGTCGACCACTAACAAGATTGCATCTGTTCATTTAATTTATTCTCCAAGTCATTACTTTAGTCTCTTTTCTTATTCATTTCATTCATGAATCAATCCAGTCATGTGTTCATTTCAGATCGCACGTGACTTTAGGGTGCGTGATAGAGAGAGGGAAAAGGAGTGTCCCAGCGGTGTCTACCTCATCATAATCCTGATTACCCTGTTCCTGGGTCTACCTTCCCTCTGGCAACGAGAGACCGAGAATCGATACCAAACCAACACAAACAAAAACACATTTTGTTGCCAATCGATAATGCAAAAAGAAACTAAACTGAGAGAGAGAGAGAGAGAGAGAGAGAGAGATTAAATGACCTAAGAGGTGAAGAATTAAAGAAGAGAAGATTGAAATGTATTGAGGAAAGAGGAAACAAGGTGAAGAGATGATTAGTGAGTAAGCATGGCAGAAGGGAGGCGAGAAGGAAGATATGAGATGGAAGGAAGGATGGAGGTGATTGCAGTGCTAAATGCCAAAGTTGGTGCTATTCACCATGAGGGTGAAAAATGGCCACTGAGTTCCATCGATAAGATGGTCTAGGTGCCGTTTAAATTAACTGACTGCTCCACTCCATGACCTAAAGTCCTCCATTCAAAATATTTCATTACCTTCTGCTGCTGCTAGAAGGAAACAGCTCCAGCTGCACAGGCTTGATACAACCAATGTTTAATGAAATTCAAACCAGCTTCAGAAATCAGCTCACTGTCAACTTTTGCCCCTTTCACACAGTGCGTTGATCCCGGGAAATTGCCAGGACGCCTTCTGTGTGAACGCAAACATGACCCGAGATTGATACCGGCATCGATGCCGGGTTGGGGACCTAGTAACATTGCCGGAATCAGTCCCGGAACGCACGCTGTGTGAACAAAAGCCGGGATCAATGCCGTAAGGGGTGTGTCATAGTGCCATCACGCGACCCTGTTGCTCTTAGAAGAAAGTTTGTTTTCGTCATCAACAAAGAAAGGATGAACAAATGTCTGCAAACTGGAACAAAGCAGAGACCAGGAGACTCACTATCCGCGCTGAAGCGGAGATTGTTCACCAGCTTTGTGGAACGGTATGCGCATGTACATGTTTTCGACGCGTGCGTTACACGTAGGGGTGTGCGATATGACGATTTTTAATCGTGGACGATTAAAATGTCTCCACGATCTGCTTTTGAAGAAATATCGTAGTATCGTGTTACAGTGCATTCTATCAGTTCAGTTCTGGCGCCTCCGTCTCTCAACTGTACAACGCGACGTAGCCTACACATGATCACACGTTAAGGAATAGGTACGGGACACTGCAATTCACAAAAGTTCATTATTTGCATAAGCCTTGCCGGTTAAACATTTAATTCACGCGCTGATGCGCTGTTCTAACGTGCGCTTTCCTGACCGCATAACCCCCGACGCTCACAGGCACTAGAAGCCTGTCAAACAGCGCCTGAATACTGGACTAAGTTATCTCTCGAGTCTTATTAAGCTACTACTGTTAAATACACACAATGTTTACATAAACAGGCTATGTCTAAAGTGAAAGCAAACATTTGAGAGAATATCTGGTGTAATATGCGTCTATATTAAACGCGTCGCGTGCTGGTCTAAAAGCAACAGGAATAAATAGTAGCCTACTGCCGCTTGTCCTTAAAGGGATAGTTCACAAAAAAAAAAAAAATTAATAAAATCCGTCCTTATTTACTCACTCTAATGTTGTTCCAAACCTGTATTAATTTCTTTCTTGTGCTGAACACAAAAGACAATTTTTTTTTTAATGTGGGTAACCAAACAGTTGCTGGTCCCCATTAACTTCCAGGAGAGAACCTATAAAAAAAACTATAAGGAGACCAGCAACTGTTCGGTTGCCCACATTATTCAAAATAACTTTTATTTTCAACAGAAGAAAGAAACTTATTCGGGTTTAAAACATCTTGAGAGAGTAAATTAAGACAATTTTCATTTTTGAGGGAACTATCCCTTTAGTGTTAATAAAACAAAACAAAACAAAAAAAACAAGGAGAAAATCACTCACTGACTGAGAACTTTAATATATCTTTAATAAGAATCAATTTATTCAGTGAAGTCTATGTAGTGTTTTAATTTCATATTTGTTCATTTAATTACTTCAATGCTACTGCTAAATACACCTACTGCATCTGAAAAAATAAAGCACTATTTATTTAATATGAATATTAATTTGTGTAATGGTTATCTTGTCTTATTTTTTTAATAACAAAGAAAAAAATGACAAAGATTTTTATCTTCACCACTGGCCTAAATGTGTGGCTTTCTTTTTTCTTTTGTTACCTAAGGCTTTGTTTTTAACATAGGGACATTAGTTTGGCTGTAATGAACAGCCACTTGCAAAATATATTAAAACCAACTTGAAAAAGAATCGTGATAAAAAATCGTGATCGTGATTTTCCTAAAAAAATCGTGATATGATATTTTTTCCATATCGCCCACCCCTAGTTACACGTCTCATCCTGACGTCATGTGTCTTTCCGGGATTGTGCGTGTACGTACTCACAGATCCCGGCAAAGCACTGGCAGTGTGAATGAACCGAAATCAAACGATCCCGGAACAAATGCCGGGTCACATTATCCGCGTATTTTCTGGAATCTCTGTGTGAAAGGGGCTTTTGATTCATCATACTTCCAAAAGAAACTGAGAAAATCATACAAAAACAATTCCAGCAAACATTGCAAACATAAGAATTCAAAAATGTAATCGTCAATATTACGTTATTATAAATTTATATCCAAAAAAACACATTTTTTTTACATTCAGAATTGTGATGCATCCAAGAATACATTTTTTCCCCCACCCCTAGCTGCAATATTAATAATATTACACGTAGTCTTTTAAAAATGCACATAGTAGTAGCTTGGGTTAGAATTCAGATGCAATGAATATATGCAGTAACATCTGTAAAAAAAAAAAAAAAAATTGTAACAATGGTTAAATAAAATTAAGTTAACCATTGGTCTTCCATAGTACCACAGAAAATGAAAAACTCAGTTAAAACCACACAAATAGCACCTCACAAGGGGAAAGAAAAGTGTATAAGAAAAAACAGTAGCCTAAATGCATTCAGTGCAGATGCACAAATCCTAGCTTAAACACAAAAAAATACTGTAAATATATTCTATTACTCCATTAATGCATCTCTACATTAATAATGTAAAATACAATTCGATATGTATTTGTGGTAAATGGTGATTTGTAGATGGAATAACTGAATCGTTTAACACTGTGTTTCTCAGTGCCATTTCATCTCTCTCTAAACTAGTTTAAATCTAGACAATTTGTGTTCTTTACTGAATTCAAGCACTTCTCCCTGGATTCCACAGCGCTGTTTAGTGATCGCATAACTGAGACGTTTAGCAAGTAAGCGCAGGTGCTATACTATACAAAAGCTGTGCTGCCGATTGAATAAATAATGCATAGCAGCATGGTTCAAATGAGTAGCGCTAAAATTACGTTCGTTAAACATTGTATCGAGCATTTATCGAACTCTTGTTATTGTTTTATCAAGGAAAATTATATCACGATAATTATCATTAACGTTAAGCCCAAATTTGATGTTGAACAAGGCATTTTGAGTTTCTCTGGTTCTTTATTATGATAAATTCTTACATCCTGATTGTCAAGTTTCCCCGAGTTATTTATGGATTTTGTTTTTTTTAGGTCTAATAAAATGACTATGTATTTCTAGAAAAGAGAGGAATTCTTGGAATGAATACCCTATTGACAGGCAGACAGATAGACAGACATACCATGAGCTGAACAGCTTCAAAACAAGTTGTATAATTTTACAGATACATGCATGCAGCCTCATTAGGGATGTGTAGTATAAAGCATGAAACGTGCTTGATAAAAGGCCGTTCAAGTGACACGCAAGAAAGCAAGCGAAAAAAAAAATCACAGTATATTTTTTTTAGTAATGACAAAGTTTAGTAAAAGCTTTTTGTTCAAAAAAATCTGAGCGGAGTGAATGAAGTGCTGTGGTTAGAGACTAAAACACTGTGTTAAGCATGTGTCCTCTAATAGTCTGTGATATGGGGTTAATCATATCAAATTTAAAATGTAAGCTTGTTGTTAATGAACAAGACAGAATGAAAATGTAAATATTTGACAGAGTAAAGGATACACCAGAATAAAGAACTCTTACCACATCATCTGTAAGTGTTCTGATGTTTAAATGCTATAAACAGAGTGAGAGTGAGAGGGGGGATTAAAATCATTTCACAGTGGCACTGAAGATGACATTGCAGTCCACTTGACAGATGACAGCTGAAAAAGCTTTTGATTTCATGTCAAAAATGATTTTTTTTTTAAATATCTCTAAGACTTAAAAATACATTCACATAAAATTAATGTCAATCTCTTTAAGATGGCATTCTACAAAAACTCTCAAATGTAGCAAGACACAATACAACTCATTTAGAAGCACTTTGACTTGAGATATGCGTACCTGAAACATGGTGAGAGAACCTGAGTAATCTAGTAATAGGTTATTCACTGATCTCGTCAATGAAAAAATCATACATTAACCAGGTGAAACAGCCTCCATATCCATTCATAACAGTTGACTCAAACAAAATATGATGTGGGATTTGAATTTGTGGGCAGACAAAGTAAAAAAAAAAAAAAATACATGTAAAAAGAAAATGTAAAACACCAAAAAAATAAACTGGTCTAGTTTGTCTGTCACCACATAGATGCCAAGATATTAGTTAAAATTAAATGAGATTAAATTGCTAGCATCTCTTAAGACTTCCAAAGTTTAAAGCCATCTTGCCAAAAATGTGCCGCTTATGGAGTCTCTTAAGCCTAAGCATGGCAACACAAACACAAATGCCAAACTTTCCAGCTAATTTAATTAAACTGATGTGTAAGTGGTAAAAATATTGACAAAGAAAGCTTAGGTTCCAAACTCTACAAAAAAAAACCCACCAACAATCAATACTACAGTCTTTCATTAACATGAGATCCAAGAGACAAAGCATAAAATGCATCAACCATTTGAGGCTGCAAATGAGGTTCAAGAACTTACATTTTCACCATAACATGTGAACAGGTTTGTGTGTGTGTGTGTGTGTGTGTGTGTGTGTGTGTGTGTGTGTGTGTGTGTGTGTGTGTGTGTGTGTGTGTGTATTTTAGAGTCTGAATTTCTCAGATCAAATCTGTTGATTAGTCCAAGTGAAGAAGAATTGCCTGCATATACATGTATGAAGAAATAATTGGAAATGCAATTATCAAGACGAGAGAGAAGCCGCCTTCTAATTTAATTCTACACTGCCAGCCCTTGACAATTACAAAGGGACCTGAGTCCACAGTGCTTCATGCACATTAAAGACCAATTCAGAGTTAGAGTGTCAAAAAGATGAGATGTAAAATTCAAGACAGAGAACACTACTTTAGTTACTGCTCTCTGTGGTTACAAGCTCACCATTGCATGCTGCCATCTGTTTAGAAGACAAAAGTTTCATAGGCGATTGTAAATGAGAAAATGTTCCTTGGTGACATATGAATGTGCTAATATGCAATTGGAATGTCTGCATGTTGGATTAAGGACAAAATTAGACCCATCTGTTGCTTTGGATCGCGCTCGTGCGCTGAGGAAAAAAACGGCTTTTGTGGTGCTCAGGAAAAGCATGTTTGCTAATGCTGTTGCGGTATTTGATTTTGGAAATTCTTTAGAGGAAATGTTTGCCAAATCTCATAAGGAGGAACAAAGCAAACAAACAACGGCACATTTTGCCTGTATTCTTAGTCTATGTTCTTGCCAGTCCTCCATTAGAGGAGAGAATTGGGTTATTTAGCAGTAACCCAGCACAGCTCAAGCAAACAGTTCGACTCAATCCCAGATGGCAGGCATTATAATCTGTCAACCTCCAAATCTATATTTTCACAACTTCCCTCTAAACATTCACTTGCACTATTAATTCAGCTAGTGGTACACACAATAGTCACACACAAACAGTTATTGGTGGCTTGGCCAAGCATCACAGCCATCAGTCTTACTTCATTAATGGAGTCAAAACAAATTCACATACTTCGGTGTAAACATGCTGTGCTGGTGATCAATCAGAAAGTCTGTGCATGGGAAATGACCTTCATTAAAGAAACACAGACCTCGAAAAACACAAAACCTCTCAATCACTGAACTTAGCATGAAATACCAGGAACAAGACAAGTGACCTTCTGAAAGACTTTTGAGAGAACCTACATGCCAACAAAAAAAAAACTCAAATAATGAATAAAACATGTCAATTTGGAGGCAATGGCAATACACAAGTTTCTTATCGCTTTTCTACATTTATCAAATAATACATCACCTACATATTTAACCTTACTATAACTAGAGCCAGAATGATATATCGGCAGGCCAATATTATCGGCCGATATATTAGGCATTTTCAATACTATCGGTATTGGCAGTTATAACGGCCGATAAATAAATATTTCAAAAATAAAATAAAAATGGACGAAACATGGCTTAAACCATGTCATGAGTGTTGGAGTTGTATAGTTGAGACGTATCATCTCTCCTTGGGCTGTTATATTGAAAATGTTTATTTTACAATTTGCAGTATGACGTTACCCATTGCTAAATTATGGCTCATCATAGACTACCTAACCACAAAGCCAGCTAATGCCACTATCATCAGTGGAAGACCGCTAACGTTAACATTAATGAGCTTTGGTTCCTCTGTGCTGTTGCGACAATAAAAGAAACAAGTGTTTGTTTTTTTTTAAATGCATTATCATATTATTTTAGTTAAAACTCATACATAACTACAAACTAATGTTAGGGAAATCTGTTAATGTTTTTTGCACGTTTCTGAAAAAAATAAATAAATAAAAATGTCAGCCGATATATATCGGAATATCGGATTTTAAAACCAACAAATAATATTTGTATCGGCCTTCAAAATCCTTTATCGGTCGGGCTCTAACTATAACCTTACTATAACAAAGATTAAAGCATCATAAGTGCCTTCAACTTCACAATGCACTCAGTAAGCCAACATTAATTAAAAATTCAGCACTTTAAGTAAATTTTTTTTTTACATCAATTACTCCCTAAACATGCCTTTTGCACTGTCAATTAAAAGAGGGGGGGGAGATAATGAACTAGATATAAAATTAGATTAAAATACAAACACACTAAAAAGTAATTAGATAAAATAAAAATCATGAACATCAAAAAGGAAACAAATATTCATCAGCGTAATTGTAGAACCTTCCCTCTACCTGTCTGTCAGTCACTCACTCTCAATCTGGCTGAGAAAAAATATTTAAAATTTTATTTAAATTCAAATTTATATTACTTTGTTCAATGCGAGTTCTGCCGTATGCTCGAATATGACCAGTCATTTACACCACAAAAATACCCCTGTAGATGCCAGGGCACTGCAATTTTGGAACCTACCCTGAGCCTGTCCACAACTCCATGTTCATGTAAGTAATATAAATCACAAAACATCAGTTTTCACAGGAAAGTGTGGTAAAGCGCATCTTCTGGGTGAAAACCAAATCTACCTCCATTAATGGCTGAAAGAAAACAGCAGGTTCAATGGTCCCTCTGTGAAGCACTTGAGAACGTAAGAGTCATGTTTCAAAAATTAAATATCTTCACGCAATGGAAGAAGACTCTTACAGCCACCGGGGCGTGTCTAGACTTCTGCGGTTTCGTTATTCAACTCCCCACCGACGTTCTCACAGAGCCTTCAGCCAAACTACCATCTGCATACTCATATTCAAATGTAACTTTGCCCCTATACAGACTAATACTAATGAATAAGCGGCAAGATAATTATCATGTTCTCTAAGCACATACACGCTCAATTCATTCTGCGCAGACAAATGTAAAATCACACTGAATTTTTCCAGTCCGTCTTCATTCGAGTTGAGTTATCTCAGCAAATATTGAAGCACATATTGAACTTCCTGCTAATCATTCACAAGAAGAGTTACAACCTGATCAGCTAACACCATTTGCTGGAGAGAAAATATGTTTAAATTGAAGCAAACATAGAAATTGTATACTGTACATTGTTTGGAAAAACAGCTATATGAAAGGTTAAACCATTCTGACAGGAGAGTGGGAACCAGACAAACCCAAACAAAAACAGTCTGTGTGTCAAGAAGGGCAAGCAGTGGGAGATCCTCATTAGAGCTGAGGCGAACTGCAAGGATTGAGTTCAGGTGTACTAATGAGATCAACACACCCATCCACCTGGCCAGCCAGAAATCTGCGTCACCTCAGCCGACGGATGGTGGGCTAACCGCCTACAGTCAAGATGAAGACCAAAAGAAAGATGATTATGAGTTATTGAGGTCAATCTGTATACTTGAAGTATATAGCCTAAATGCAGTTACAGCAAATCATCTATTGAAGAGACCACCATAGCTGCTTTTAACTTTAACTAAATTGGAAAAGTCACCAGAAGTTTCTTTCCAGAAAGTTATTTTCCAGACCTTTACATGAATACAATTTAGAAAAAGGACAAAATATGAAGAACAAAATCTCAAGGTGTCTTGATGTTTTTGGTGACAAGTGCAGTTGTGTATCTGGATGTCCAAGTGCAGTTTGACCTTCATTCAAGGGTGATGTTGCATTGCAGTGAACAACACTGGGTACAATGGCAGGGCAAAATTATCACAGAGGTTTCTTTAACACTCTCAAACTCACACAAATGACAGGGCTCATTAAAACAACCACAGTAAAAGCATAATTGCTTCAAATCAATGTCCACTGAATAAATTGAAACCTATTTAAAGGTTTCATTTGCATTTTGTCATTTAGCAGACATTTCACTAGAAATGAAAACACCTACAATTTTGGAATGTAGGCTAATTCAAAAAAGATATTAATTATTGACAGCAATTAATCAGACATTTATAAATGTTACAAAAGCTGTTTAAACTATATTCTTTAAAGAATCCTCAGAAAATGTGTCATTGTTTCCACAAATATATTAAGCAGAATAACTGTTTTTAACATAGATAATAAGAAATATTTCATGAGCACCAAATCAGCAGATTTAGAATGAATTCCAAAGGATCAAGCAATAATGTTTATCACATTAAATGTAAACTGACTTTTTTATTATTTGCTGCGTCTTGTAATAAAGTACAATCAATAAGGGAGAAAAGCCCACAGATTCATAGATTCTCATTGAAATGCTTATAATC